AATGCCAACATCCATCTCTAACAGAGCTCACAAAGCAGAACAGGAACAGCCAGCTTATGGCAAGGAGAAGCTTGCTGCTCTGAAGGATGAAAGTTCAGCCCTCGTAGAAACTGTTCCCATTTTGGTCCATGAGGCTGAAATCAAGGGAGTTGAACCCCAGGAAGCTTCTCAGTGCAGTGTCATGGGGCCTGCTGTTCTGGAGGGCAGGTGCTTGGCTGGAACTCTTTCATCACAAGATATTAACCTCCATTCAGCCTGTGAGAGTGAAAAACAAGAATATTCACAGCTATCCCTTTCTAGGGAGGTAATGTCTGTTGTCTCAGCAAGTGGAAGCCCAACTGCTGGACAGCCTGTCCTTGGTCCTTTCTCCGAGACTGAAGGACAGACATATGAGCAGCACAAGGCTGCATATCACAGTGGTAAAGTTTCTGCAGCTCTGGAGGCCATGCACCCATGTATTTTAACTGCTTCACAATGCAAAAGTGCCCCAGCTTCAGTCTATGAGAGAAGACACGAGGAACACCCTCAGGTTTATGATGAGAGAAGCAGTGCTGCCTCAGTGACTGGAAGCTGTGATGCTAGAAAACCTGTCCCACCATTGCTCCAGGAGAGTCAAAGGCAGGAGATCTCACATCAGAGGTCGTCTTTTTACAGTGATGAGGAGTCTGCTGCACTGGAGGACTTGGTGGATGAAATGGTTTTGTTGTCTGAAGAGATGAATGTTTGGGCAGAGTCAGTTGGGCAGACTCAGGAGGAATGCAGAAAGCACGTCTCTTCACCCACAGAGATGTTCTACAAAGAGCCTGGTGGCCAAGCACCTACAATAAGTTTATTTCCTTCTGGTGAAAGCAGTAGAGGAGGAGAAGTGTCTGAGATGGATGATATCCCAGAACCCTACCTTGCTGTGCACGAGGAGTCATCTGTGCTGAAAGTAGATGAAACACAAATAATTCCTCATGAGTGTGAGCATCTGGAGGACGTAGCATTTGAAAGCACCAGTTCTAGTCAAGTAAGCATTTCCCAGAGGAATAGTTTGGATTCTGGGGAAGAAAACAGTCAAGTGCCAGTGAGCAAGGACGCTGTTAAACACCCAGAAGTGTCTTTGCTGAAAATCAAAGATCTGTCAGATGAAGCACCCAGTCTTGGTAGTGGAACGCCAAAATTTGACATATCAGAGGTAGAGCCGGCCTATTTGAATTTCTCAGATTTGTATGACATTGTCTATTTTCCTTTTGAATTTATGAACTTTAGGAAGCCTCCACCCAAGCCAACTGGTAGACGATTTATACCTTTTAGTGAAAGGGCAAGGTCACCTCCTGCAGGACATTTGCATAAAGAAAAAAGATTGTGCATCAGAGAAGAGGCAGAAGAGAGGAACAAGAAAAACCTTTTGGAAATATCTGAGAGTTCAAAGGCAACCACCCTCTCAGCCATGGGGAAAGGGTCAGAGAGTCATAAGGAAATGTACGGCTCCCAAAAGGACCCAAGTGGTAAGCAGAAAAGCTCCTACAGCAAGCCAGGACTCTTTAAACCCTACGGAAGATCTCACTCCATGGAGCAATCAGTGGAGCAGAGTCTGAAGAAGAAAGTGAAAGCTTCTGTTGCCCATCTTTCAAGAATCCTGAAAGGAAAAACATCACCTGAGCGAGAGGCAGAGGAAGGTCAATATTTCATTTTGTACCTTCTGGTATCTGCTGGTATAACTGAGCTCTGCTAAATCTGCCTTTTTGCATCCTCTGTAGCTTATCTGAAGTTCATGTCAAAGGCAGGTTTGGAAATCAGCTGTCCTCAGCTTCACAGAATCACAAAATGGCTGAGGTTGGAAGGGACCTCTAAAGATCATCTAAACCAACTTTCCTGCTAAGATTGTCCCTTAGCTTTCTGTTGCTGCCCCTTTTGAGGGCAAAGCCAGCTAGACGCTGATGGAAGCAGCTTGTATTCCCCTGCCTTAATTCACACACAAGCAGAGCAATCCCCCAGCTTCAAACCCACTAACAGAATAGCAGTAATGTTGGGAGGTTGGGAGATAGAACACTGATGTTATTTCTGCAGTTACCACCTGACTGTGGCCTCAGTGATAAAACTTTAAAAAGACTGTGTGAAGTTGGTGAAATTATCCCAGGGTCTATACTCAAGTTACTGGTGTTCAGGTCTGGACAAAAGAATCTGTCCTCACTTATCTGCCTGCCCTAGATTTGCCAGCTTCTCACACTACATCATGCTGCTTGTAAAAGCTTTCACAGCTTTTCATGTTAACTAAGGGCTCATTAATAAGGAGGCCTGTGATTAATGAAATATTTGCAAGTGAACTGCAGAACTTTTTGCTGTAAATGTGCATGGTGGGGAGAATAGTGGACTTGAATGAAATTTGTTCCTTCCTTTCTAACAGAGATTGGTGTGCTGGGAAGTGAAGGAGTAGAAAAAGAGCCATTAACAGGAGCTGAAGGATCTTTGAAGAGGAAATCGGGGCTCTCGTCATTCAAGTTACCAAGCCTCATACCAAAGGAGAAAGGTATTCTTCATTGTCTAAATCATCAGCTAATTTTATCATGAGATATCACTATGAATATTACGGTGCAGCTTGAGGCCTGTAGCTAAAGCTGGATCTACATCTCTGTCTTGAGGGTTAACCCGTACAAGTGAGCCAGACTCCTCTATATCATTACTATACTATACTATTACTATACTATTACTATACTATACTATTACTATATCTATATCATTACTAGTGTCCCTGCTAAAACTGCCTTGTCATGGGCTTGTTTGCAAATTGGAGCCATTCTAGGAAGCTACAGCGCTGGACCAAACTCGACTTGTAAGCTGTAAAGAGAGGAAAAGGAGTGTCCAAATGCCAGACAGCAAAGGAGGGAATTGTGAAGTTAAATCTCCTCCGTTTCTTCCTTCCAGTGTTGTGCTGGTCTGAAGCCTTCATCCTTGGAACGTCATCACTTGGTTTTGACTAAATATTTAAGCTAAGACAGTTAAAAAAAAAATGGTAGGAAACTCCTGTGGTGGCACATGCACTTCATGTCCTCTGAGGGACTCTGCTGCTGTAGATGTACCAGCAGGGCCGTGCAATGCAGATGTTCCTCAAGACCCTTTCAAGGGTCAGATCTGCCCTACTGTCCATAACCAGATAAATACATAGTAAACAAAAAAAAAGTCCCAAGAGAAGAGTGTGGTATCTAGTATCTGCAGGAAAGTTTGGGCCATGAACTTAAGGAAAAATTTTTTAACAGTGAGAGTGCCAGAGCACTGGAACAGGCTGCCCAGAGAGGTTGTGGAGTCTCCTTCTCTGGAGATCTTCAAACCCGCTTGGACGCAGTCCTGTGCCACGTGCTCTAGGTGACCCTGCGTGTGCGGGGGGTTGGACTAGATGACCTCGAGAGGTCCCTTCCAACCTTAAGCGTGCTATGATTCTATGAATTAGCGAGCTGTCTTGGTCCTAATGTATGGGCAATCATGCTGAGTACCTGAGAATGAAGGGAGCCTCTTTATTTCAATGGAGCCTGTGCGCTAAGTGACCAGGGGATTCTCAAGAAAACAATGGTCAAATGAATGCCAGAGCATGGACAAAATCTCCTTAAACTAGTCAAAAATGTGGTTTTTTATCTTGTTGTTTTACATGTAACTGTTATCAACATATCTGCTGGCCTCCCTGAACAGCTGCTCTTCTCTCCTTTGCAGCTCCTTCGTTTGTTGAAGAGCTCATAGACCAGGCCGCTGCCGTCGGGCAGTGTGTGACTCTGTCGTGCCGCACAGCAGCTCACTCCTCCCCGCACATCGACTGGTTCAGAGGTGACGTTGACACTCCTGTAGGGAGGCCCAGGCCTTCAGGAAAACGTATTAGGCCCCTCAGTATGAATATGCACGGTCCTTAGTTTTCATATCCTCTGCCTTTCAGATGGGATAGCTGTCCACAGCAGCAGTCGAATTCTCATCTCAACCACACTCAAGAACTTCCAGCTGTTAACTATTCTCTCTGTTAATGCCGATGATTTTGGTGTTTACACCTGTGTGGCCACTAGCTCTGTGGGCTCAGCATCTACCTCTTGCATCGTAAGAAAAGCTGGTAAGAAAGGAAGTAGCTAGATTTATTTAGTTATTTATTTTTGTGGTAGTGGTGTATGCAGAATTGATCAACTCTTGAGGATTTGTTCTTTGCCTTTTTTTGCCCTGTGCTAGCTGTGAGAACCCAACTGAAATGGGGAGATCTTGGGACTTCAGAGTTAGAGTGGATTTTAAACCAGAGGATCGCAGTGATAGCTAATGTAGCTGGCATTCAGGAGCAGGGACAGCTAGATAGATGTTATCAGATAGAAGGTTAACACCATTAACAGACCTAGGTCAGTCTGGCAAGCAATTTTGGAAGTTGAAGGTTGCCCCAGGTTTGGAAAACAGCAGTGCTTCTGGACCTGGAAAAACGTGACTCCCTTCCATGCACTTGGGAGTAGGGTATCTCACCTGAGCTTTCTGTACCTCGGTTCAGGGTAATGTTTCTCCTTTGCTTGCTCTATTCCATATCCACTACTGTTGCTGTCTGGTAGCAGAGCACATTTTGCACTGTGCTCATTCCCTCTTTTTCACTTTTTTAGTGAAATCTGTCCTAGATTCAGAGTCAGTCAAGTAACAGTGCACTTGGAACAAAGTTTTAAGATCTTTGCTGCTAGACACAGCTAGGTTACTGTTCCAATAAGAATCTTTTTTTTTTTTCCAAAATAAAATATCTGTAACAAAAGCGCTGGGCATGCAGGTACATCTCATAGCAGTGTTAGAGATAACAGTCATTTTGGTGCCTCCTTTTGACAGAAGTTCCTCCAAGCCCTCCAGCCCCTGACATCGTGGATGTTTACAAGGATGGAGTGCAGGTGGCCTGGAAACCCGTGGAAACCAACACCCCAGTCCTCTACACTGTGCAGTGCAAGAGTGAAGGTAAGGAGGAGCTCTGCTCCTATGCCTTAAAGAAAGCATCACAGTCTGTATGAGCTCTCCACCAGCTGGTTATATATTTTTTTTTATTCAGAATCCATATAGCATCATTTCAGCATTCTAATTTTGAGTTAGGAATGAAAATCAGACCTCCGTGCTTTGGCCATCTAAAAGCTTGATGTTTTTGCGGGCTAGCCTTGCATGCAGGATGTGTACTTATACGAAGGCTTTGTTAAATTCTCCTGGAAACGATGACCAAAAAGCGAACTGGCTATATAGGAATATGCACAGACGGTGCCAACCATGCAGCCCTGAGTAATCCTCTTAAATTACAGTTATGGCAACATTATACAAGTCACTATCACCCTTTACAGTAACGACTAGCAATTGCTATCATCCTTTACCCAAGTTTTCCATTCAGTTAATGGAGAAAGATGGCATCTCAAGCAGGCAATGATCCTACACTAAATAAGTAACGAAGGAAGCTTAGGGTGAACAGCCAGGATAAGATGACAAAAGTTTGGCAAGGCTGCATGCCATCCTTTCAATGATCTCTTCCAAGGCTTCTGCTGAAGTCAGTGGATGTTTTTGCGTTTAATTCCATGAACTTTGAATCAAACCCCTCAGTCTGTTCTCTCTCATGGGTTCATTTTTACAGTGCTTATTGTGAATACCTCTACTAACAGTAATTTCTATTGCAGTCCTGCGTACACAGTCATTTGGATTGAATGGTTCCATGTTTCTTTTAATTCTCCGAAGAGACATGCACTTCATTCTCAATTAACATGAACACAGGCAGAAGTTTCTGCCTCTTTACACTGTACTTGGTGTCAGATGATTTTCCTCCAACACCTTCTTTATTTTTGCTTCTTTTGACACAGCTGTGGACAAGACTTTTGACAAGGTTTGGAAGAAAGAACAAGAAACAGCATCCACTGTCTTCATTCACATTCTGTTCATTTAGGAGGAACATACAAAGTTTTCATATGCAGACAGATTAAGATAAACATAAAACAAGTTTTTATCCTGTCCTTTTTTCTGACAATAGGCTTTTACCTCCTTCTCTGATTCTGATCTGTGGCTGCTCCTTCTTGCATATGCACACACCATAATTCAATTAATAGCCAGCGAGGTCCTTGACACCTTTGCTGTGGGTGACGAAATATTGCCAGTGTTATGGCGTGAGGCACTCTGTAATTCTCAGTATTTATTTGAATTAAAGGTTGGGTTTTGTCTCGGTCATTCTTGGGATCTTTGAGTTCATCTTTGAGCCCAGTGCCGGTGACAACATGTGAGACAGCATCAACTGAAATGTTTGCAGGGATTTTCCTGCTCACACCTTAGCTCCCTGGATAATTGCTCCAGGATAAACCATTGTTTTTATTTTCTTGAGATATCACTTGAACCTCATAAATGTTGAGTGAGATTTGCTGCAGTTTCAAGTATTTGGTTTGCTCTGCAGGTGTTAATGGATAGTTCTTTTGTGAAATGCTGCACTTCATGGTTTCAGCAGG